CACCACCACCTCCACCACCACCACAACGTCTCCCTCCACCACCACAACATCTCCTAGCACCACAACCTCTCCCACCACCACAACCTCCACCTCCACCACCACAACCTCTCCCACCACCACAACCTCTCCCTCCACCACCACCACAAAGTCTCCCTCCACCACCACAACATCTCCTAGCACCACAACCTCTCCCACCACCACAACCTCTCCCACCACCTCCACCACCACAACCTCTCCCACCACCACAACCTCTCCCTCCACCACCACCACAACGTCTCCCTCCACCACCACAACGTCTCCCTCCACCACCACCACCACCACAACCTCTCCCAGCACCACAACCTCTCCCACCACCACAACCTCTCCCTCCACCACCACAACCTCTCCCACCACCACCACAACCTCTCCCACCACCTCCACCACCACAACCTCTCCCTCCACCACCACAACATTTCCCAGCACCACAACCTCTCCCACCACCACAACTTCTCCTTCCACCACCACCACCTCTCCCAGCACCACCACCACCACAACCTCTCCCAGCACCATCACCACCACAACCTCTCCCACCACCACAACCTCTCCCACCACCACCGCAAATCCACTCCACTTCTTTTGTTGCAGCTCACGCAGACGGGGAGCTTTTAAATCAAGCCGAGTCGGCACAAAATGAAAATAATTTATTTTTTACAACGCTGTCAAAAAAAAAAAGAACAAACACGTTGCAGACAGACAGTGGCCGACCAAGTTCTGGAAGTGCTCAATCTATTTTCATTCATTATTTCCTCCCCCCCTCCCCCCCCACGTGCGTTGCGAGTGTCCATTCGCTGGCTGCGTCCGTCCGTCCGTCCCTCGTGGTGGTTGGTGGTGTGCCTTCGTCAGGGTCGACTCGGCCTCAAATGGGTTCCCGTTCCAGGCGCGTGAACGTCGCCAGTCGGGGAGACAAAGGGGGCCAAGCGTGGTTTGTTTGGGCAACTCGTGTGCCGGGTTTGGCCTTCGAAGGTGCTGCTGCTGCTGCTACTCGCTCACGGAACTTGCCCCAACAGCGTGTTGAGGCTACACGGGGGATCTTTGTCTTTGCGGTGCAGCGGTGAGCGCGCTGGGCCCGACTGTGGCACGAGTTCGATTCCCGATCACGGCCACCGCCAACAACCACACCACCACCAACACCACCAACACCACCAACCCCACCAACACCACCACCACCAACACCACCAACACCATCACCACCAACCCCACCAACACCACCAACCCCACCACCACCAACAGCACCAACACCAACACCACCAACACCAGCACCACCACCAACAGCACCAACACCAACACCACCACCAACACCACCAACACCACCACCAACCTCACCACCAACACCACCACCAACACCACCAACCATCCCACCACCACCAACCATCCCACCAACACCACCACCAACAGCACCAACACCACCAACACCACCACCAACACCACCACCAACAGCACCAACACCACCAACACCAGCACCACCACCAACAGCACCAACGCCACCAACCCCACCACCACCACCAACACCACCAACACCACCACCAACCCCACCACCAACACCCCCACCAACACCAACACCACCAACCCCACCACCAACACCACCAACCCCACCACCAACACCGCCACCACCAACACCACCACCACCAACCCCACCAACACCACCACCACCAACCCCACCACCACCAACACCACCAACACCACCAACACCACCACCAACAGCACCAACACCAATACCACCACCAACACCAGCACCACCACCAACAGCACCAACACCAACGCCACCAACCCCACCACCACCAACCACCAACACCACCAACACCACCACCAACATCACCAACCCCACCACCACCAACACCACCAACCCCACCACCACCAACGCCACCAACCCCACCACCACCAACCACCAACACCACCAACACCACCACCAACACCACCAACCCCACCACCACCAACACCACCAACCCCACCACCACCAACCCCACCACCACCAACGCCGGTGACGACAATTATCTGTACCGGTGCTGGTGCCTCCCCTAGGTCGGCTCAGCCTCAAATGGGAATCTGGTGCGGTGTGTCAATAAAAAAAAACTTTATATATTTTAAACTGAGCTATGTTTTATTTGACCAGGTAAGGCCCCCTCTGAGCTTCTGTGTAGCTCTTTGTAAGAAGCGACTCATCATCACCATCATCATCACGTGGCCACTGGGGAGACAAAGGCGGCCGGGCGTGGTAAGTGCTGGCTATCACGTGGACATTTATAGCAGCGGGCCAAGGGAGCCGTCCATAAATGACGTCACGCACCTATGGCGGGGGTGGGGTGGGGTCAGACATTTGTGACGATGTGTGACGAGTGGGGGGGGGGTGGGGGGGGTTTGAGAAATGTGACGTCACATCAAAATTGCGCAACTTTATAAATAAACATAGACAACACGTTCTACTTAATTAAATATAATTTTTATTAAATATTTTCTCCTACAACATCAGAGTGCAGCGCCACATTAAATACACACTACAATGACAACAATAGTTTAAAGCGATTTGAAGCATTTTTATTTCGGGGGGGGAGGGGGGGCAGAGCTTTGTGACGTCATATTTGAGGGGGGGAGGGTCGAAAATCGTCCAAAATTGCGTGACGTCATTTATGGACGGCCCCAAATACTCCAAACGCACGTTGTTTCTCAATGCGTGCGTGAGTGTGTGTGTGGCCACTGGGGAGACAAAGGCGGCCGGGCGTGGTAAGCGCTGGCCACCCACCCCCTCGTGTCGAACCTTCGATAGGTGGTGCAGCACTTGCCCCAACAACTCTGCGAAGGCTACACGGGGCACCTTTGTCTTTGTCTTGGTGGGTGGCGAGGCCCGCTTAGCTCGCACCGCCACCTAGCGGGTCAAAGCCATCACAGCACCACCACCAACAACCACCACCAACAACAACAACATACACAACCACCAAAAACAACAACCACCACCACTCTCACCACCACCAACCACCACCAAACCACCACCAACCACCACCAAACCACCACCAACAACCACAACCACCAACAAACCACCACCACTCTCACCAGCACCACCAACCACCACCACCAACAACCACCACCAACCACCAACAACTACCACCACCAACCACCACCAACAACTACCACCACCAACCACCACCAACAACTACCACCACCAACAACCACCACCAACCACCACCAACCACCACCACCAACCACCACCAACCACCACCAACAACCACCACCAACAACCACCACCAACCACCAACATCAACCACCAACAACTACCACCAACAACTACCACCACCAACCACCACCAACAACTACCACCACCAACCACCACCAACAACCACCACCACCAACCACCACCAACCACCACCAACAACCACCAACAACTACCACCACCAACCACCACCAACAACTACCACCACCAACCACCACCACAACCACCACCAACCACCAACAACAACTACCACCACCAACCACCAACAACAACCACCACCAACAACCACCAACAACTACCACCACCAACCACCACAACCACCACCACAACCACCAACAACCACCACCACCACAACCACCAACAACCACCACCACCAACCACCAACAACAACAACCACCACCAACAACAACCACCACCAACAACCACCAACAACAACAACCACCACTACAAAACCGCCCTCTCACCGAGCTATCGACAACGAGAGACAGACACGGGTAGGTGGAGGTGGTGGTGGTAGTGGTGGTGGAGGTAGTGGTGGTGGTAGTGGTGGTGGAGGTAGTAGTGGTGGTGGTAGTGGTGGTGGTGATGGAGGTAGTGGTGGTGGAGGTAGTGATGGTGGTGGTGATAGTGGTGGTGGTAGTGGTGGTAGTGGTGGTGGAGGTAGTGGTGGTGGTGGTAGTGGTGGTAGTGGTGGTGGTAGTGGTGGTGGAGGTAGTGGTGGTGGTGGAGGTAGTGGTGGTGGAGGTAGTGGTGGTGGTGGTGATAGTGGTGGTGGTAGTAGTGGTGGTGGTAGTGGAGGTAGAGTTGGTGGTGGAGGTCGTGGTGGTGGTGGTGGAGGTAGTGGTGGTGGAGGTCGTGGTGGTTGAGGTAGTGGTGGTGGCTGAGGTAGTGGCCTCTCTCTCCCCCCACCCATCTCACGCCTCTCCCCCCACCCACCCCACCCATCTCTCTCCCCCCACCCCACACATCTCACGCCTCTCCCCCCACCCACGCCCCTCTCTCCCCCCACCCACGCCTCTCTCTCCCCCCACCCCACGTCTCCCCCCCACCCACGCCTCTCTCTCCCCCCACCTAACCCACGCCTCTCCCCCCACCCCACCCACGCCTCTCTCCCCCCACCCCACCCACGCCTCTCTCTCCCCCCACCCACGCCTCTCTCTCCCCCCACCCCACCCACGCCTCTCTCTCTCCCCCCACCCCACGACTCCCTCCCACCCACGACTCTCTCTCCCCCCACCCCACCCACGCCTCTCTCTCCCCCCACCCCACCCACGCCTCTCTCTCCCCCCACCCACGCCTCTCTCTCCCCCCACTCAACCCACGCCTCTCTCTCCCCCCACCCCACCCACGTCTCTCCCCACACCCCACCCACGCCTCTCTCTCCCCCACCCCACGCCTCCCCCCCACCCACCCCTCTCTCTCTCTCTCTCCCCCCACCCCACCCACGCCTCTCCCCACACCCCACCCACGCCTCTCCCCCCACCCCACCCACGCCTCTCTCTCCCCCCACCCCACCCACGCCTCTCTCTCTCCCCCCACCCCACGCCTCCCCCCCACCCACCCCTCTCTCCCTCTCCCCCACCCCACCCACCTCTCTCTCCCTCTCCCCCCACCCCACCCACGCCTCTCTCTCCCCCCACCCCACCCACGCCTCTCTCTCTCCCCCACCCCACGCCTCCCTCCCACCCACCTCCCTCTCCCCCCACCCCACCCACCTCTCTCTCCCTCTCCCCCCACCCCTCTCTCTCCCTCTCCCCCCACCCCACCCACGCCCCTCTCTCTCTCTGTGTGCCACTCGAGCCATGGACAGCATCGGCGAAGGTTGCACGGAGCTGAAGCGGGCCTACGACCGCTGCTTCAATTCGTGGTTCTCGGAGCGCTTCCTCAAGGGCGAACATCGGAGCGGCGCAGACCCTTGCGCGGAGATCTTCAAGGGCTACCAGACGTGTCTCAAGGTGTGTGTCTGTGTGTGTGTGTGAACACACGTGGGGCTGTGTGTGTGTGTGAACACACGTGGGACTGTGTGTGTGAACACACGTGGGACTGTGTGAACACACACGTGGGACTGTGTGTGTGTGAACACACGTGGGACTGTGTGTCTGTGTGTGTGAACACACGTGGGACTGTGTGTCTGTGTGTGTGAACACACGTGAGACTGTGTGTGTGTGAACACACGTGGGGCTGTGTGTGTGAACACACGTGGGGCTGTGTGTGTGTGTGAACACACGTGGGACTGTGTGAACACACACGTGGGACATTGTGTGTGTGTGAACACACGTGAGACTGTGTGTGTGAACACACGTGAGACTGTGTGTGTGAACACACGTGAGACTGTGTGTGTGAACACACGTGAGACTGTGTGTGTGTGTGTGAACACACGTGGGACTGTGTGTGTGTGAACACACGTGGGGCTGTGTGTGTGTGAACACACGTGGGACTGTGTGTGTGTGTGAACACACGTGGGACTGTCTGTGTGTGAACACACGTGGGACTGTCTGTGTGTGTGAACACACGTGACACATTGTGTGTGTGAACACACGTGACACATTGTGTGTGTGAACACACGTGACACAGTGTCTGTGTGTGAACACACGTGACACAGTGTCTGTGTGTGAACACACGTGACACAGTGTCTGTGTGTGAACACACGTGACACAGTGTCTGCATGTGAGAACACACGTGACACATTGTCTGCATGTGAGAACACACGTGACACATTGTGTGTGTGAGAACACACGTGACACATTGTGTGTGTGTGAACACACGTGACACATTGTGTGTGTGTGAACACACGTGACACATTGTGTGTGTGTGTGAACACACGTGACACATTGTGTGTGTGTGTGAACACACGTGACACATTGTGTGTGTCAAAGACAATGTAACATTATTATTACATTACTATAAAACCCAATGCATGTAACATTATTATTACTCAAGTTTGAACATTATTATTATCATCAGAGCCATGTTTGTTTGCATGTTCACCACAAGCACCGTGGGTGCTTAATGCGAAAACTTAATCTCTTGCAAAAGCTACAATTTATTTGGTGGTTTGAACATTTTAAACTCGCCTCGTGTGTTGATTTATTAAACACACACCTTATTCTTATATTCCATACTTTAATCCTGTAACAAAAAGTATCCCATAGATGTTAACTACTTTGATACTGGGTAAAAAAAAATCAAATGATAAGCGTCTCAAGGTGATAATGACCTCCCCCGGGGGGGAGGTGTGGCAGGATGGGGTGGGCCGAGCAAAGAGGCGACGATGGCGGCCGGCTACGCTTAGGAAAGAGCGGTGATAAGCCTCGGGCCTCGTGCGTGTTAGGTGGTGGTGGTGGGAGTTAGTTTATTTTTTTTAAGTGGCGCTTTTCTTCGTTTGCTTGCGCGTGGTGTGGGGGTGGGGGTGTTTGTTGTTGTTCGGAGGTAGTTGCCGTACATTTTAAAAGTCTGCAATTAAGTGTATTATATCTTGACAACATTACCCTCACCCCCTCCATCCCGGCCGGGCAAGAGCGCGCATAGGTCGGTAGGGCGGGCTAGGCAAGGGCGGCGAAAGCCTTGGCCTCGTAACTTGTTAATTGTAGAAGATGCAGAGCCAACGGGTTTACAAATGTCACATTCAGGTGGAGTGAGGAGCAGTAGTGGGGTCTACGTGCAGCGTTAGTCTAGGTGCAGCGTTAGTCTACGGGCAGTGTTAGTCTACGGGTAGTGTTAGTCTACGTGCAGTGTTAGTCTACGGGTAGTGTTAGTCTATGGGTAGTGTTAGTCTATGGGCAGTGTTAGTCTATGTGCAGTGTTAGTCTATAGGCAGTGTTAGTCTATGTGCAGTGTTAGTCTATGGGCAGTGTTAGTCTATGTGCAGTGTTAGTCTATGGGCAGTGTTAGTCTATGGGCAGTGTTAGTCTATGGGTAGTGTTAGTCTGTGTAGTGTTAGTCTACGTGTAGTGTTAGTCTATGCTGTGTTAGTCTACGGCCAGTGTTAGTCTATGGGCAGTGTTAGTCTACGGGCAGTGTTAGTCTATGGGCAGTGTTAGTCTATGGGCAGTGTTAGTCTATGTGCAGTGTTAGTCTATGGGCAGTGTTAGTCTATGGGTAGTGTTAGTCTATGGGCAGTGTTAGTCCATGTGCAGTGTTGAGTCTATGGGCAGTGTTAGTCTATGGGCAGTGTTAGTCTATGTGTAGTGTTAGTCTATGGGTAGTGTTAGTCTATGGGCAGTGTTAGTCCATGTGCAGTGTTGAGTCTATGGGCAGTGTTAGTCTATGGGCAGTGTTAGTCTATGTGTAGTGTTAGTCTATGGGTAGTGTTAGTCTACGTGTAGTGTTAGTCTACGGGCAGTGTTAGTCTATGGGCAGTGTTAGTCTATGGGCAGTGTTAGTCTGTAGGCAGTGTTAGACTATGGGCAATGTTAGTTTATGGGCAGTGTTAGTCTATGGGCAGTGTTAGTCTACGGGCAGTGTTAGTCTATGGGCAGTGTTAGTCTATGGGCAGTGTTAGTCTATGGGCAGTGTTAGTCTATGGGCAGTGTTAGTCTACGGGCAGTGTTAGTCTATGGGCAGTGTTAGTCTATGGGCAGTGTTAGTCTATGGGCAGTGTTAGTCTACGGGCAGTGTTAGTCTACGGGCAGTGTGAGTCTGTAGGCAGTGTTAGTCTACGTGTAGTGTTAGTCTATGGGTAGTGTTAGTCCATGTGCAGTGTTAGTCTACGGGCAGTGTTAGTCTATGGGCAGTCTACGTGCGGTGCGAATTAAATTCAACATCGCACAATGACCACAGCCACTCCGCAGGGCCCGGCTCTTTCATTGCTTGTGGTTTAGTTTCGTTTTTCCTCCTCCCGTCCCCTTGCAGAAAGCCATCAAGGAGCAGAACATTCCGCTGGACGGTCTGGAGTTCATGGCGGGCGACGAAGAGTCAAATGACTCGAGCAAAAGCTGAAGGAGGGAACGTCCGTCGACAAAGCGCCACGGTGGCTAGGAGATGTTAACTGCCTCGCCTGGTACGCAGGAGGTTGTGGGTTCCATCCCGACCCTGAAGACGCCTGCTGCTGTATATTTGGAGTTTGCGTGTGTCTCTCTCTCTCTCTATCATCATCATCATCACGGTGGCTAGGAGATGTTAACTGCCTCGCCTGGTACGCAGGAGGTCGTGGGTTCCATCCCGCCCCTGACGACGCCTGCTGCTGTAGATTTGTAGTCTGCGTCTCTCTCATCATCATCACGGTGGCTAGGAGATGTTGACTACCTCGCCTGGTACGCAGGAGGTCGTGGGTTCCATCCCGACCCTGACGACGCCTGCTGCTGCTGCTGTAGATTTGGAGTTTGCATGCTCTCCCCGTGGTAGCGTGGATTTTTCTCCAGGTCCTCCGGTTTTTCCCTCGACGTTTAGAAACGTGCGTTTTAGGAGTATTTGTGGCTGCTGATATACAATTCCACCTGATGATGATGATGAGCCACTTCGTTGAGCTATCATTTGCGATGGCCAGGTCGTTTCTGATGAAGAGCTACGGAACTCAGCGTCCCTTACCTGCTAAAATAAAAAATAGTTTCCGGAGTGTTTTTTTAATATATATATTTTCCTTCCACAACCACGCATTCCCTCTCCCCCTCCCCTCCCACAGCCATCTAGCCATCATCCCTCAACTCATCAGAATCTTTATTTACACTGCAGGAGGAGGAATCCGATGAGCTATGAAGCTTTTTGTTTTAACAGATGGTCCAGTTATGGGGCGGGTGGGGTCAGCACAACAGCCTCAGTTGGTAGAAGTCAAAATGCCATCATCATCATCATGGCCAAATCCGTTGAAACCACGGTGGCTATGAGATGTTAACTACCTCGCCTGGTATACAGGAGGTCGTGGGTTTGATCCCGACCCTGACGCCTGCTGCTGCTGCTGTATATTTGGAGTTTTCTTGTCGCTCTCTCTCATCATCATCATCATCACGGTGGCTAGGAGATGTTAACTTACCTCGCCTGGTATACAGGAGGTCGTGGGTTCGATCCCGACCCTGACGCCTGCTGCTGCTGTATATGTGGCGTTTTCTTGTCTCTCTCTCTCTCTCATCATCATCATGGTGGCTAGGAGATGTTAACTTACCTCGCCTGGTATACAGGAGGGGGTCGTGGGTCACGATCCCAACCCTGACCATGCCTGCTGTGTGTTTGTAGCAAATTTCCGCACGTCGAGAGGCCGCTGCCGTTGGGCGATGCACGTGCGACGGCCAGGTGCGCCTCTGAAAAAGAGCTCGCAGAGAGGGCCTCAGCGCGTTGAAATTTTCAGTTTCATGCCACAGACGGGACCCGGCATCATCGACCACTGCCGGAAGAAGCTCCACCCCAAGCCCCACCAGCGACCGCCCGCCACTCGCGATCCTACGGCGTGGGCCAATCCGCCTAGCGGCTCCACGCGGGGCGATTTCACCGCTCCATCTCCTCCGTGGACATTAAAAAAAAATTCTCATTGGGATCGCATATCATCACTAGCCCCCCGACCGTCTTACGTGTGTGTGTGTGTTTTGAACCGAGGGTTTGCGGTGGTGTAGCTATTGGCGCGCTGCACGAACTACCCGCCGGCCCGAATTCGATTCCAGCTCAAGGTCAACACCAGTGACGATTATCTGAACCGGTTCTGGGCCTCCGCTAGGTCGACTCGGCCTCAAATATGTACCCGGTGCGGTGTGTAAACATGGGCACGAGGGAGACAAAGGCGGCCGGGCGTGGTGCTGGCCACCCACCCCCTCGTGTGCCTTGCCGGCCTTCATAGGTGCTTGCTCCAAACAGCCTGTTAAGGCGATATGGCGGGGGGGGGGGGGTCTTTGTGTGTTGAACTTCTTTCGCACCGTACGTAGCCAACCGTGCTAGTCGGAGGTGCGGGGAGGGAGGGGGGGAAGGACGACAAACTAAACAACAACAAGAAGCAGTTCTAAAGAAATTAGTTTTCAATCTAGAAATTGGTTTTCACTCCAGCGTGTAGTGGTAATGGCGTCGGCGATGTTGGTGGTGGTGGTGGTGTAGATGGTGGTGGTGTAGATGGTGATGGTGGTGGTGTAGGTCAGGGGTCACCAAACTTTTTTCACAGCGGGCCGGATAACTGATAGAATGACGATCGCGGGCCGCATAAACATTCTGTTCAATACTTGGGGGCGGGAAAGATGCGTGTTTGTGTGTTTGTGTGTGTTGCCATGGAAACCAAGGTAACGTGTTGCCATGACGTTGCCATGGAAACCATGGTAACGTCAGAGCGTAGGCGGAGCTACCACGAGCCGGGGAAGTACTTGGGATGGCGTGAAATAAGCAAACAGAATAAACGAGAAAATCTAGATACAATAATTTACAATTTGAAATAGTAAATTTAAGGCACATAGCAGTGAGGAGGCCTCCGCACGCGTGAAGATCTCCTCATATTCTAAACATAATATTTAAATTGTATCACAACGTCTCGTGTTCCATACGTTTTATCAACCAGATTCAAGTACCGTCGGCGGGCCTGATGGACTGACGTCGCGGGCCGGATTCGGCCCGCGGGCCGTAGTTTGGTGACCCCTGGTGTAGATGGTGGTGGTGTAGATGGTGGTGGTGTAGATGGTGGTGGTGTAGATGGTGGTGGTGTAGATGGTGGTGGTGTAGATGGTGGTGGTGTAGATGGTGGTGGTGGTGGTGTAGATGGTTGTGGTGGTGGTGGTCTAGATGGTGGTGGTGGTGTAGATGGTGGTGTAGATGATGGTGGTGGTGTAGATGGTGGTGGTGGTGGTGTAGATGGTGGTGTAGATGGTGGTGGTGGTGTAGATGGTGGCTACGTACATACGTAAAACTTCTTCCGCACCGCACTTATTGCCGACCGCGCTAATCGGAGGAGCGGGGCGGGGGGGGGAGGTGGAAGGACGACAACAAACTAAAAACACACCCCCACCCCTACCCCAACCTCCAAATGACCGATTAACCCCCAAAAAAAACACATTTGGGTCTAATGTATACGTATTTTTTTATGATTAAAGTATATATCATGTGGATGAGTTGTCATCGTCGCGGTGTTTCTGTTGAAGGGAAGGCGACCCTCCCTGGTTTGGGGTCGCTGCGGCTCGGATCGGCGCCGGGAGCCTGGGTTCGAATCCGGGTTTGAGCCGCGTAGCCACAGACCCATAGACTCGCATAGAGACCCATAGACACACACAGACCCATGGACTCGCATAGAGACCCATAGACACACACAGACCCATGGACTTGCATAGAGAACCATTCACTCACACATAGACCCATAGACACACAGACCCATAGACTCGCATAGAGACCCATAGACACACACAGACCCATAGACTCGCATAGAGACCCATAGACACACACAGACCCATAGACTCGCATACAGACCCATGGACTCGCATAGAGACCCATAGACACACACAGACCCATGGACTTGCATAGAGAACCATTCACTCACACATAGACCCATAGACACACACAGACCCATAGACTCGCATAGAGACCCATAGACACAGACCCATAGACACATATAAACCCATAGACTCACACATAAACCCATAGACCCGCACATAAACCTGTAGACTCACACATAGACCCATAGACTCACACATAAACCTGTAGACTCACACATAGACCCATAGACTCACACAGACCCATAGACTCGCATAGAGACCCATAGACACACACAGACCCATGACTTGCATAGAGACCCATAGACACACACAGACCCATAGACACATATAAACCCATAGACTCACACATAAACCCATAGACCCGCACATAAACCTGTAGACTCACACATAGACCCATAGACTCACACATAAACCTGTAGATTCACACATAGAGCCATAGACTCACACAGACCCATAGACTCGCATAGAGACCCATAGACACACAGACCCATGGACTCGCATAGAGACCCATAGACACACAGACCCATGGACTTGCATAGAGAACCATTCACTCACACATAGACCCATAGACACACAGACCCATAGACTCATATAAACCCATAGACTCACACATAAACCCATAGACCCGCACATAAACCTGTAGACTCACACATAGACTCATAGACTCACACATAAATCTGTAGACCCACACATAGACCCATAGACTCACACAGACCCATAGACTCACACAGACCCATAGACTCACACAAACCCATAGACTTGCACAAACCCATAGACTCGCACAAACCCATAGACTCGCACAAACCCATACTCACACAAACCCATAGACCCACACATAGACCCATAGACTCACATATACCCATAGACTCGCACGTAGACCCATAGACTCACACGTAAACCGATAGACACACACATAGACCCATAGACTCACATAAACCTATAGACTCACACAGACCCATAGACTCACATAAACCCATAGACACACACATAGCCCTGTAGACTTACACAGACCCATAGACTTGCATAGAGACCCATAGACTCACGAAACAACACAGCCTCACACACAGACCCATAGACTCGCACATAAACCCATAGACTCACACATAAACCCACAGACTCACACATAAACCCACAGACTCACACATAAACCCATAGACTCGCACATAAACCCATAGACTCGCACATATACCCATAGACTCACACAGACACCCATGGGCGCACATGAGACTCGTACAGAGAGACGTCGTCAGGAGGCAAGTTTATATTTATTTTCTTGTGCGAGCGTTTAGTAAACAACAGTTGTGTCCAGTGGGTAATGTTTGTCTATGGGTAATGTAAGTCTATGGGCAGTGTTAGTCTATGTGCAGTGTTAGTCTATGGGCAGTGTTAGTCTATGGGCAGTGTTAGTCTATGGGCAGTGTTAGTCTATGGGTAGTGTTAGTCTATGGGCAGTGTTAGTCCATGTGCAGTGTTGAGTCTATGGGCAGTGTTAGTCTATGGGCAGTGTTAGTCTATGTGTAGTGTTAGTCTATGGGTAGTGTTAGTCTATGGGCAGTGTTAGTCCATGTGCAGTGTTGAGTCTATGGGCAGTGTTAGTCTATGGGCAGTGTTAGTCTATGTGTAGTGTTAGTCTATGGGTAGTGTTAGTCTACGTGTAGTGTTAGTCTATGGGCAGTGTTAGTCTATGGGCAGTGTTAGTCTATGGGCAGTGTTAGTCTGTAGGCAGTGTTAGACTATGGGCAATGTTAGTTTATGGGCAGTGTTAGTCTATGGGCAGTGTTAGTCTACGGGCAGTGTTAGTCTATGGGCAGTGTTAGTCTATGGGCAGTGTTAGTCTATGGGCAGTGTTAGTCTATGGGCAGTGTTAGTCTACGGGCAGTGTTAGTCTATGGGCAGTGTTAGTCTATGGGCAGTGTTAGTCTACGGGCAGTGTTAGTCTACGGGCAGTGTGAGTCTGTAGGCAGTGTTAGTCTACGTGTAGTGTTAGTCTATGGGTAGTGTTAGTCCATGTGCAGTGTTAGTCTACGGGCAGTGTTAGTCTATGGGCAGTCTACGTGCGGTGCGAATTAAATTCAACATCGCACAATGACCACAGCCACTCCGCAGGGCCCGGCTCTTTCATTGCTTGTGGTTTAGTTTCGTTTTTCCTCCGCCCGTCCCCTTGCAGAAAGCCATCAAGGAGCAGAACATTCCGCTGGACGGTCTGGAGTTCATGGCGGGCGACGAAGAGTCAAATGACTCGAGCAAAAGCTGAAGGAGGGAACGTCCGTCGACAAAGCGCCACGGTGGCTAGGAGATGTTAACTGCCTCGCCTGGTACGCAGGAGGTCGTGGGTTCCATCCCGACCCTGAAGACGCCTGCTGCTGTATATTTGGAGTTTGCGTGTGTCTCTCTCTCTCTCTATCATCATCATCATCACGGTGGCTAGGAGATGTTAACTGCCTCGCCTGGTACGCAGGAGGTCGTGCGTTCCATCCCGACCCTGACAATGCCTGCTGCTGTAGATTTGGAGTCTGTGTCTCTCTCTCTCTTTCATCATCATCACGGTGGCTAGGAGATGTTGACTACCTCGCCTGGTACGCAGGAGGTCGTGGGTTCCATCCCGACCCTGACGACGCCTGCTGCTGCTGCTGTAGATTTGGAGTTTGCATGCTCTCCCCGTGGTAGCGTGGATTTTTCTCCAGGTCCTCCGGTTTTTCCCTCGACGTTTAGAAACGTGCGTTTTAGGAGTATTTGTGGCTGCCGATATACAATTCCACCTGATGATGATGATGATGAGCCACTTCGTTGAGCTATCATTTGCGATGGCCAGGTCGTTTCTGATGAAGAGCTACGGAACTCAGCGTCCCTTACCTGCTAAAATAAAAAATAGTTTCCGGAGTGTTTTTTTTAATATATATTTTTTTTCCTTCCACAACCACGCATTCCCTCTCCCCCCCCTCCCCTCCCACAGCCATCTAGCCATCATCCCTCAACTCATCATAATCTTTATTTACACTGCAGGAGGAGGAATCCGATGAGCTATGAAGCTTTTTGTTTTAACAGATGTCCAGTTATGGGGCGGGTGGGGTCAGCACAACAGCCTCAGTTGGTAGAAGTCAAAATGCCATCATCATCATCATGGCCAAATCCGTTGAAACCACGGTGGCTAGGAGATGTTAACTACCTCGCCTGGTATACAGGAGGTCGTGGGTTCGATCCCGACCCTGACGCCTGCTGCTGCTGCTGTATATTTGGAGTTTTCTTGTCGCTCTCTCTCATCATCATCATCACGGT